GCAGCCTTCCACTTCACCCTCCACAAGATGACGGTGGAGAACCACAAGGATTTCGCCGACTTCACCCCAAGCCGGCTGTTCATCTACTACAACGAACGCCTTGTAGAGGGCAGCGTGAACCAGGACGCTGGGGCGATGATCCGGGACGGCATCAAGACGATGTCCAAAGTAGGCGTGTGCCCGGAGAGTGTGTGGAAGTATGATGACCAGCATGACTTCTTCAAGCAGCAGCCGGACGACAAGGCCTACGAGCTGGCGCAGAAATGCAGGGTCATGGGCTACGCCCGCGTTGCTCAGGACCTGAGCCAGTTCAAGGCATGCCTGAAGAACGGCTACCCCTTCGTCTTCGGCTTTGCTGTCCTTTCTAGCTTCCAGACGGCGGAAGTTGCCAGGACCGGCAAGATGGTGATGCCCCAACCGACCGACCAGCAGCTTGGCGGCCACGCCGTCTGTGCCGTGGGCTACGACGACTTCCAGCAGTGCTTCATTGTCCGCAACTCCTGGGGCGAAGGGTGGGGCGACAAGGGCTACTTCTACATGCCCTATGAGTACATGTGCCATCCCGCCCTTGCCTCCGACTTCTGGGCCATCAACTGGGTCGAGGGTTTCAAGAACGCCAGCAGTCTCTCCGACAGTGCCAAGTTGGGAGGGGCACCCAGGCATCCGAATGTTGTGTCCCTCAACATGCGCACGAACATGAAGTTCGGCTGGCGACCAGACATGCCGGACCACCGCGACCTCCGTGTGACCTTCAACAAGGTCGAAGCGCCAAGCCACATCAAGAAGAAGGTGGAAGGAGCGAAGGAGCTCATTGACCTGCAGCCCATGAACGGTGGCTTCCCCATCTNNCCTACAAATCTCCACTCAGGCTGAACATCAATTTTGTGACACATGATTTGTGCCGAAAGTGACCGTGAGGCCCGGGACTTGCTTAGCTGCTGTTTCGTTGAAGTCAGCTTTCCGACGACTGCCACTAGTGTGGGCCTCTCAGCAAGCACGTTAT